CCACAGATGGGAGTTTGGCACTGTGATACGACGGCTGGGGCGTGTCCATTATGAAGTTACGACGGTTGGTGGTGAGGTATGAAGACGTCACCTGGACCAGTTGCTACCGGCCCCTCTGGTGCGGTAGCCAGGAATGGCCGCGGAGGCGTGTCATATATATTCTCTTTGGGCTGTGATGATGTTACTTAGTTACGCTTGTTATTGGAATGTCGTTATCTAAAAATAAAATGTACATAATGAACTAATTAATATCTTAGCTATCTAGCGCGCGCTATTTGATTTTAGAACATAATGTTCAAATGGCTTATTCCTTTTGTAGTAGGTTTTATTTCTTTTTTTACTAATATAAGGTGAGGTTTCAAATGTAACACATCATATGCAACTACTGTAAAAGCTCGCTCGTTTTTTTTTAATGTATCGAGTTCTTGACTCATAGCTTCTTCAAGCACATTTTATTTGAAAATAGGGTGGAAAACAAGAATAAATGAAAATTAAATGGATATGGTATGTCTGATGGCAAGCGGCGACCATCATATAGTCGCATGCGATGCCAAAAATATTACTCGCACCATTGCCTACCCTGACCCAATCCCCTACCACGTGGAGCCCTGGAACCTTACTCACCGACAGAAACACAACACCATCAAAAAGTTAACACTGGTGTCGATTCTGGCTTGATTCTCTAAACTTAAAACTAAATTTAACATCAGTCTCTCCTTTTCATTCTGTATAGAGAATGACAAGGATACACTGTTGTCAAATTTAAGTTTAGATATAGAGAATCATGCCAGAATCGATATACCTTTTTAATAGTGTTGTGTTTCTGTCAGTTTTACTGTGATCTTATTTGAATGTGCTCAAATGCTCAATAGACTGTATGACTGTGCTTCAGTCCTAAAAAAACATTCAAAAATATAAAAAAAGCACTTGCGCATAGCGGATAAACTTTTGACAAATATTGGGTATCTATTAACTTGGTCGATCGCATTTCACAAGAATAGTAGCTACCTACCCACTTGGATTCTCGCGCCGATATAAAGCGGTTTTTTATGGCAAATCGATATCCCGGGAGGGTAATATCCCCAAATCAACCCCAGTTCATCGTTTCGTTATAAAACGTAGAGATAAGTATTTTGACGACTACAGACGTAGAAAGATTTTAACTGTAGTGTACCAAATGATACCTTATATTGTTATTTGAAGCAATAAACATGAAACAAAGTTTTACTAAAATTCAACTCAGCCCGGTATCTCTTTGCCATACTGGCCATAGCGGATTTACCGCTTGAATGGGAGCGCAAAGAGTACCTAATCTCCCATAGCTCGCTGTGGCAACGGAATTATAAATAAAATTTGTATGAGAGTTGTGGAACACTCGGTGAAACGAAATCACAATATACTCACCAAAAAAGGCTTAGCAACATGTACGGTTTTGAACTTATGAACAATTTGTACTATTGTAATATAAATTTGTTTTAAAATTTGAAAATAGATGAAAATTTATCTGCCGGGCGTTGTCTCCGAAACAACTGTCTAAAAATTAAAAAATAAGAATGGAATGTAGCTATCTTCATGTAAGTAGATTACAGGAAATAAACCTATGTATTTTATAGTAATTAAAATAAATTACAATAGTAAAAACTCTAATATTATAAACACAATAGAAATGTTTCTATTCTAAAAAAAACAAGTGTGCTTATGAGCACACGACTGAAGTGAAGCTCCATCTGTAAGTGTATATATATATATATATGTTACCGGCCAAACCCGATTTCAGGACAAACTAGTTTTGCCTAGGCTAAACTAGTTCTTCCTATACGCGATAGGATTAATTAGTATAGCCTAGTCCAAACTAATTTCTCCTAAGCCCGTTAGGATAAACCAGTTTAGCCTAGGCCAAACTAGTTGATCCTGATATAAATACGTACACTCTAGGATAAACTAGTACGGCCTAGTCTAAACAAATTTAGCAGAGTCGAAAGTAATTGAACAAATATGTCAGGACTTGTACAGGTTGCGTCATATAAAAAGAACGCTGGAAGAAAGTGGAGGGGGTGTGTATGCGCATAGATGCAGCTGCAACAAAAACTGTTCCACAAACAGTTGCCAATGATGGCACTGACATCTGCAATTCAAGAAGGCAAGAAAACAATGATACTCTGCATTCTGCAATTCTAAGTGGCACCAAAGCACACCATATAAAAAAAACAATTTTAATAATTGAGATATTATTGTTGCTTCTATTAAAAAAACACATATTATTTGTTATAGTATATGATTGTTTTTATTACTAATTATCCAAAACTTTTAACGATGAATCATTATCGTTTTAATAAAAAATATTATTTTTCCAATTACGGAGTATTTTATTCACTTTATCTATTTATTTAGACTTTCTAGATATACTATAATGATTAGACTAGGCCATACTAGTTTATCCTAGAGTATGCGTATTTATATCAGGATCAACTACTTTGGCCTAGGCTAAACTGGTTTATCCTGTCGGGCTTAGGACAAATTAGTTTGGACTAGGCTATACTAGTTAATCCTATCGCGTATAGGAAGACCTAGTTTAGCCTAGGCAAAACTAGTTTGTCCTGAAATCGGGTTTGGCCGGTAACATATATATATATATATATATATATATATATATATATATATATGTGTGCGTGTATAATATATACATGAATGTAATTATACGTATTTCATTCACTAGCTATAAGAGAAAGAAACTGTGCCCGCGCACTGCTTTCTCTTGCTTATATCCCCTACTCAACTCCCGTTCGCCTCGCCCGAATATACTTTTCATAACGCGTAACGCATTCGCCAGATTACCCCGCTAGTCAAGCGTGCTTTAAGAAGTTTCACTTCAAAAGTAGGCACACCTATATTTTAGGGAACAACGACGAAAAAAAGTTTTTATGTATAAGACACTATACACTTGTAATTATTTTGAAAACTTCGATCATTTAAAATTAAAAATACCACTGTTCGATTTTCAAATTTCCGAGAAGTAAACAGTGTAGTTTAAGCAGGGTGGTTCGGAGTCGAGAGACTTTACCGGAATGTTTAGGTCATTCTTCTTTCAGATACTGAATTCACCAGCGCCGCTCGGGTTGTAGTTATAATGCTATTCAACTAAGAATAGGACCGATTGGGCGCCATATTGTTATGTCATAGCTGTCAATTCAAACCAAATAGGTAGAGTGAGCAAAAAAAGTTTTTATTTAATAAAACTTATTTACTAACATTAAGTGATAAAATGCATAAGATTATTTTAATAACATTTATTTACTAAGATTGAGAAAAAAAAACCACCGATTTTTAATAATTTTTATTTATTAAGACTGTGAGAAAAAACATTAATCAGAATCTAGCTCTTCTACTCCGCTCATCTCTGCATTACCGCCGGAGTAGTTATGAATAATCATGCACTATTACTAGGTCACATACGAACATACATCCTTTATGTAAATGAAAGTTTGAAATCGAGTTTCTGAATGCAACTTCAAGTGACATTTGGTTGACGATTTAGGTTATCAACCATTCATGACCAAAGCTCAATAAGTGAAATAAAAATATCAACCGATATTAATTATCAATATTTGTTATTGTTTGTTTACAAATGTTTGGTTTTTATTCTTGAATTAGCGGAGTGCTAAAAAAGGGTTCCAAGTTTTTTTTTTTTGCAAACCGTACTTTTCAAGCGACATTTGACAGATAGAGGTCATTGGCTTTCCTATTCTTATTTGAATCGCATTATATGTAACCTTTTTCTTGGTTGTATTATAAACAAACATTGCCTTGCTTCTTGTTTGTGATCTTCTCTTGTTTCTTGATTTATATTTTAGAATTAACATAATGAATATATATGTTGTATGGGATAAAAGAGACAAGAACCTTCCAAATAGGAATGTCGTTGGCAAAACATCTCTGGAGAAATGGGTGTTGAAGGTAAACAAATACATTTTTCTTGTACTCTCATTTTTAATACAATTTATTATATTATATTCTTAAACGGGTATTGCGTCGTAATAATTGTTACAGAAAGTATATAGCATAAAATGTAAACATAAATTAAACAACAGGCAACACATACCTACAGATCTTTTTTAGATACCCAATCATTCCACGAAATTATTGGGTATTTTAAAAAAAACGAGCGTGCCTTAGGCTGCGGCCAGCGTGCACTCAGATTCAGATTCAGATTCAGATTTCGAAAACAAGCGCGAGAAATAAACAGTGTAGTCGAAGGGTACGGCCAGATTGCACTCCTGATTCAGATTCAGATTCGGACTCAGAAAACAAAGCGCGAGAAAAAGCAGGCAACCTGCTTAGACTACACTGTTTATTTCTCGCGCTTGTTTTCGAAATCTGAATCTGAGTCTGAATCTGAGTGCACTCTGGCCGTACCCTAATAAGGGTACATTACATTGTAGCGACTGCCATCGGACCTCCGTAACAATTAAGCAGAGGAACCAGACTATTTATTGGATCATGCCTACACATACATCATTATCTGAATGTGCAAGTTTCCTCACGATGTTTTCCATCACCATCAAGCAAATGGTATTAATCCGTACATAGATTCCGAAAAAGCTCGGTGTTACTATTTATGTTTAGGCATGAAAACCTTTAATTGGCCTTATTATTAGGCTATTAAGTGTTACCTATAATTTGGATTGCAACGCTGCACTGTTGGTTTTCAAATAAATCTTTGAACAACGACACCTTTCTAGCGTAGCGATGTACTTGCTCATCACATCTTTCCTAATAGTCAAACAACTAAAGATGAAATAGTATATAACGGACGGCGTTTGTTGCAACCTTTCACTTGGCATTGAAATATTGTATGTGTTACCTATTACTCGAAATATCTGACGGCTCGGACTGTGTATCGACTAGTACTGAAAAATACCTATTCCAAACACCTAATCCGATATTTATGCCTCACCTCTAGTCAGTGACTGTCAGTGAGACAGTGACAATTACTGAGCTGACGGATGTTTGTTTTGGGTTTTTTTTGCATTGTTTTGCCGATTTTAAAGTTTGTGCGGTGTTAACAAAACTTTATAAATAATTTTATTAAAAAATAACAACAGACACAAATATTTTTTGCTAACTAGTTTGAAGAAGGAAGTGTATAGTGTGCGTGTAGTGAACACCATATTTGAATTTTTCAGAAAACCGCTAAAGTACTGGTAAAACTGCTAATGTAAACAAATAAGTTCCCTGAGAGATTATAGTAAAACTCAGCGAAATGTCTACTGATTTCATGGACTTAACCCAACTTGATCTTGATGATGACATTCACGATGTGTTAAATCTGCCTGAAGGTTTGTTTGAATAAATGTTAAAATAACTGCCATTTCATTACATAGTTTCTAATTTAATGATTTAATTGATGAAAGTACACTTCATACGAACACGAACTCGCACCCTTAAAGTACACCATCCAGTTTTAACACTGGTTCAAACCTAAACAGACAGACATGTCACACTTCTTGTAGTAGGCTATTAGTAAATAAATAAATATTTCCGACACTCGCACACCAATTAGCCTAGCCCCAGAGAAAGCACTATAAGGCTTGTGTTATGTGATGCTAGGGTAACGGATAGAATACATATACTGTACATATATAAGTATATTTATATAAATACATATTAAATATCCATGGCTGGAGTACAAATGCTTGTATTCATCACACAAACATCTGCCCCCACCAGGATTCGAACCCGAGACCTCTAGTCGGCGACAGCCATGAAACCCGGCGTACAAACCACTCGGCCATGGAGGTCATCAAAGGCTTTACTGTAGAATTTCATATTCTGCGACAAATTCAACTGTCTACTTCATCATCACCAGCTTATTAAATGTTCCCATTTGTGTGCCGTTGTGCTTCCTTATGGATGGAAATGGACTCAAGCTTAGTGTGGATTGGTAGGCACTAATGATTGCAGATGCAGCCAGGAATAACGGCTTAACATGCCTTCTGAAGCATGGAGGAGCCTGAGATAATATGTTTTTGGTCACCCATCTAAACTATATACTGTTTACTTATTACAGTTTATTTCATAAACCACGCAGACAGAAAGTGGTACAGGCTTAGTAATAAGATGTGGTCAGCCTTTTGACACAAAACCCTTAAAAAAGGAGAATGAGTGAGAACTCATATATTATAAATATTAGAAAAAAAATCTTATATTTCTCAAATTGCTTAACCATTTTTAGTACAAGTGGCAGGAATCAGTACTTCAGAATCAGAAGCATCTTCAGCCGGTTCCGGGTCAAAATCTAAACAGAGTGCACTGCCAACAAACTTAGGTAGAAGTAATGCTTCAAGGAAACGCAATCTGAGAAAAAGTGTGGGTAAGTTGTGTAAAATGGTAACTTATTGTATGCCAACTTTAAAAAAAATCTTCTTTTTATTATTGGGACATTTTCTTCAATTTCTTCAATTGACTAAAATAACCCATCTAGTTCAATTCAAGAAAATGTGATCTGTAGATCCCTCCTTAAAAGAATTTAAAGTATATTATAACTAATTTATAAGTCATTGTTTCTTCTGTCCCAGTTAAGTACTTTACAGAATACAAAATCCCATTTATTGTATCTCCTGTGTTGGACTTCCGAAGTAATGGAGTCGTATTTATTCATAAACTTTTATGTATTTATTTACTGAAATAATTGTATTTCCTGTATGGTGCCAGTGCACCATCCATCCATCCATCCTGTCAGAATACCAGCATTGCTGTGATACATTATCTACATGTCACGTCAGCATTATGCTGAGGCAGGGTTCTGATTGACCTATCCTTTAACCTTGTTACTATGTTTATTAATTTTTGTACTGCTTACTTTTTTATATTTGTATTTCCGTTGTTTGTATGTGCTGGTTTTTAATGGTCAATAAAGCAGTTCTCTCTCTCTCTCAGAATAAGCTAGCAGCAAAATTGTTTTTTATAGCTAAGTTTTATCGTTATTGACTTATCAGTCGGTTGTTGAATTCGGCCATAACAACAGATGAGACATTTTCCACTTTGTCAAGGACGACGCAACCACAGCACGGAAGAGGCTCACGCGATTGGCCAACCACCGTTCCAACATAACGCGAATTGCGAGCAACCGACGACGCTATGATATCGCGCTAACTGCGTGCTAAAAATTGTTAACATAATGATTTTGTCATTTGAGCATGCGATCCAGACACAGCAAGAATTGTAAACCAAAAGAAGAAAAATAAACAAGCCACAAGAAAATCGAGTTTTAATCATACAGTCCACAACACACTTATTAAGTCTCCACTGCTAGGGCAAAGGAAAATCAAATGGACGTTTTGAAAAAGTTTCCTAAAAATTGTTTTTCTTTTTTAGGCAGTCTAGAAGAGGTATCAGACAAGAAGAGGACTGCTGCAGCTGAGAGAGAGTCCAAGAAGAGAAAGCTAGCTGAGGAAAAAGCGGCTAAGCTAGCAGCCGTCGAAGCTAACAAAATTTACAAGCCCGGGGAATGTATGAAGGTAACTTATTTTATATTTTTCCATAAAATATTGTATAAATAGGCTAGTTGACTAATGTCAAATTGCACTATACAAATGTTTATTTCTTATAATTTTTGGTATGAGGAACCTAAATACATCGATTTCACTTCATAAAATTAGAAGATGGCTGTAGTAATTTAATTTGAAAAATAGTTTTTAGTCTATGCTTTTTAAACACTAAAAACGCTGTCCACCGTTGTGACGTCAACATAATAGCAAAACAACTAAACGTCATTGTCGTGTTACTGTGGTTTCTTTCGTCCGACTAAAATATATCTAAAAACTCTTATATCTTGAAGAAAAGTTTCCGTTTATTGGTTCTCTTGACAAAATTAATGCTGGACGCCTGATTGACGCCATGACGCCATGCCGGATTTGTGAAAGCAGAAACGACAAAACTCTTTGACTTAGCAGGTACTACATTCATAACCTTAAAAATTGAAACCACAACATTTCTTGAGTTTATAATGATGTGTTTCTTTATTCTCGTATAATACAATCATGATAATTACTATATTTATCATGAAATCTATTAGAAATCATGGTTTTCTAATGTAAATCCAGATAGGTTATATCCTACGTGCTTGCGAGTGTTTGTTTACTATTGTTCCCGTCATACCATAGATAATCTACAGATTAAATTACCGACAGCGTTTTTGTATGTCCATGAAAAATCTAATTTAAAATTAAAGTTTTGTAGCTTTCTAGGTAAAAAAAATACAATACATTTTTTTTCGGTGTAATTGAACAATTACTAACCATTTAAAACATATTTCCAAAAAGTGTCAACTAGCCTATTATGGCTGGTATTGTTTTTGTGATCATACTTTACCTTTAACACTGTTTTAAGAGATTTTCGCGGAAATGATGTTTGTTTTAAATGATTTGTCATTTAATCCTTCACCTAAAATAATTTTTAAAAGTATGGACTTTTATGATTTTATTTGGTAAGTTATAATAGGATGTACAATTAACCAAAAAACTTGGACTTAAAAATTTACAGATTTTGAAATTATACACTATTTTACCCATATAGGTACAGTGGCGGACTAAGCCCGTCAGAGGCCCGGGGCGGCTAAGCTGAATGAGACCCCCAGCTTTAAAAAAATGTAGATTCTTATGTTTATTTCGTTAGAACCAGTCTTGTCAAATTCACCATAACTTTATATCAGATTGTCAACTGCTACAGCCAGAGCGTCATCTGAAGCTTCTAGCATAAACTTTGTTTCAATAATTTGGAAAATATTTTTGATTTGTTTAATAGCCCAATTCGAAAATTCTTGTATAAAGCGGTCTATGCATTCATTCATTGACCGACGTATTTCTTCTTGAATTGATAATCCAGCATCACGAGCTGATTCACCCGGCATCGTTCTTTTTACCTTCACTTTTACTGGTTTCTTGATGATGATGAACCACCTAAATACATATTCAAGGCGTTTAGTTTGGTGATTCCTGTATCTAGTCATTTTTGGAGACCGCAAATATTGTTAAACTTAAATAGAATGTAGTGAATGTAAATGTATGCGTTCAAGAGTAAATTATTTGCACTTCATTCATTCAGGGATTCCTGAGGAAGTACCTACAAAGACGGGAATTGCCCCAGCCAGTTCAGCAAAGTTAAATAAATATTATTACCGCGTAAAAAGTCTAGATTACTGTAGTGTTTTGATCTTGATGACATTATGTATAATTATGCTTAGTACCTAAGCACATTATTAAAGTCTTGTTCAGGATTTGATCTGGGGAACGCAGAGGCATTTGGGGGACCCCCGAGATCGGAGGCCCGGGGCGGGCCGCCCCTTCCGCCCCCCTGTTAGTCCGCCACTGCCCATATAAACGACTTTTTTATCTGTCCCGAGTTTATCGTTACGTAATTAAAATATAATATAGACATGACGCATTGTGTTGGCACTGTTTTATAGTAAAATTTATGGAGAATCCAAATATATATGTGTAGGAATGCCAAAGGGGAAGTTCTTCTTCCGAGCTGGGTGATGTTAGCTCGGGGGCCGCGGCCCAACTGATGTTGGTCGGGCATCGTATATATGAACTGTTGGCTGCCTAATTTCACTTGCGCGATGTAGGCTTTCTTACGTTGTGAACGCAGCGCTGGTAGCGCCATCTCTGGAGGACGCCAGTGTTTATTTCCTCCATGTTAGTTATACTCGTATGTGGGGCATGTAGCTGTCGCTGCCACATATGTATAGTTTGTGTAGGGTGTTCTTACGAAATAACAGAGAAATTGGAAAAAATAATGCAATCATTTCCACCCAGTGGGGGGTTGACGGTGAGAACGGCGCATGACCTTTAGCTTGAGAGAGGTTAATTTCATTATTTTATTCATTATTTTACAGTACATGCACATTGAGATGCATCCTTCTCTGGCTAGCGCGTGGTTCATGTCGGATTTAGCTCGTGAATCAGCCGCGGCGGGTTGTAAGGTGACAACTGTGCCTGACATATGTGACCCTGCGCTGGTGATGTGGAGCCGCGCTAACAGTCAGACCTTGACACTTACCGAGGGACTGGTACGTTTTATACACTCACACACACAAAATGATAAAATATATAATAAATCAGGGAGAAAAAAACAGCCCTTCTTGCCGGTTCTTCTCAGTACAAGGTCTCCCGCCGTAGATTTAAGAACCGATGGCGTAGCTTCTAGACATTCATGAGTGCTTGTAACAGCCTAAACTGAATAAATGATTTTGATTATGATTATTTATTTTGTATGTTTGTATGTAGGTGTTGTATATACGTATATGTATATAGAGGAGCAAGATGACGCAGGTCGTTAGCGCGTTCGGCTACCATCATTGAAGTGAAGCAATTTTCGCAGTGGTCGGTCATTGGATGGGTGACCAAAAATCTTCTATCTCTAGTTCTTCCGTGCTTCGGAAGGCACGTTAAGCCGTTGGTCCCTGCTGCATCTCCAGTCGTTAGCACCCGCCAATCCGCACTGGGCTCGCGTGGTGGGTCATGGCCCAATCTCCCTATTCCATCCATAAGAAAGGCCTGTGCCCCAGCAGTGAGGACATAAATAGGCTGATGATGATGATTTTATATACAGGAATATGGCGAACCGACGGCCTTATGCATATTATTTACAAATAATTATTAATTATTCTCATTTCGATCTAAACTCGATATCATCTCGATCCTCGTGTGTATTGGCAGCCTGATTGGTCCGTTTCTCTTACATTTATCTGCCCAGTTACTATCTAGCTTGTTCTCTAGGCTGTGAGAACGTGCAAGTTGGCAAGCGTGCTCGCGATAGTGCGCGCCTGCATTTACTACGCCACTGCTGACGCTTCAAGTTCTTCAGAGCGCTGTGTTGAAGCGTACAGTACCCCTAGCACGAACCAATATCGAATTCGTATCGTTTGCGAGTCCGAAATGTCATTGTCAAATGTGTACTGATTTTTAGTTCTCGTTGCGTACTTTGTGCCGCTGCTGTTCAAGTTTCCATACAAAATTTGACATTGACATTTCGGTTTGCAAACTATTCGAATTCGATAATGGTTCGTGCTAGGGGTACAGTTCTGTCTCGCTCGCTCGATTGAATGTTTATTTAAAGACGTGTGCGTGTGTGAGAGTTGCTTATGTAGTTGAGTGGGATCATATTTTATTTGATGCTAGTATGAGCGTACCGTATCTTGCCCTTTTTGTTTTAATCTAAGATCTGCCCGATTTTAATCTACAGCTGGGGGCCAATCGCCCAACGGTATTGCTGTGGCTATCGCTATCGCTTGCGATTTCACATTGTTAATTCTGACCGCTAAATGTTTTCAAATACCTCACGCTCATTTTCTTTAAATAGTAATAGTTTGAAATAGTTTTGTTAACTTATTGTAATAGTTTTGCCAATTATAGCATAACCTACAATCGCTGCACTAGCGGACCGATGCTATATGATGAAAGCACGAATATTCGACAATTTATCACTGAACATATATTTTAATTAAATTTTAATTTAATTTAATTTCGAAAGAATCATAACCTTTATCGCTATAAACAATTGACACCAGATTCACTTTTCACTGCACTTCATACTTGACGAAAACATGTAAATGTATTATTGTATAGCAGCTGTCCACGCGGACGCATCGCTCACTCAAGTAGGAGAGAGACAGATGTCAAACGCGGAGGCCGATTGTGCCTCTTTGTCGCTCGTTGCGCGCTCTCGCTTGCACTTCAAGCCTTAAATGCCCTGCCTGCTCTGCCCCCTGGTCGGAGAACGCTCAGTATATTTTCTCTTTGCGTGTGTACTAGGTAGGATTGTCCCGTGCTCGCGAGCAGTGTTCGCGAGCCCTGTACGTACTGGAAGCGTCAGCAGTGGCGGAGTTGGTGCAGGCGCGCACGCTCGCGAGCATGCTCGCCAACTTGCGCGCACTCACCGCCTGCGACGTAACTTGCGTAGTGTTCGGCGCTAAGGAGTATTTTAAGTTAGTATATCTTCGTCATTGAGCTATATTTTTGTAATTTCCTTTTAAAAAAAATGTGTGCCCGGACCACACATCTGACCAAACTTCTTTTCTTAAATAACCTAACTTTAGGCGGTGCATAAGGCATTATAGGGGATATATATATATATATATATATATACACAGTGTCCCACGGGTTTCTTACACGGAGGGAAACTATGTTAAATATTGAACATAGGATATTTTACTGAAAGAAGACATCATTTTATTTTTAATAATAACTAGAAATGCCCTCACAGTTTTTTTTAAAACGCCTGCTACAACAGAGAATCAGGCTCGTGAAATTTGAAAAAAAAAATCACATGACGTATTTTATGATGACCATCGAAAGGGTTAATCATAAAGATTACTTTTTCCTAAATAACATAGCATTTTAAATATAAGAAAGATCATGAAATTACAGTTTTGTTCAGGAATATTTTCATCGTACTTTTCCAAGCTTCCAACAGATAATGTTGTCATTTCAAAGTACATATTTGCCAACCTGCCTGCCTTTAGTATCTGCTCACTTAATAATACAGGACTTCCATACTATAAGTACGTAAAAAAATTTAATAAAGCGATACTTATACAAACCTAGCACAGTTATTTTTAAATTGAAGTTTGTGTTCAATTATTAAAAAAAAAAACGGTTGTCTGTAAAGTCGGCGATTACTGACGATAGTTGAACGTGACAATGTTTTTTTACAATGTACAAAGTTTTTACAAGTATGAATGTGCTTTGAGCAATTGTTTTAAAACAATTATCGTGGCTATACACAATTGACACCACACTCACTTTTCACTGCACTTCATACTTGACGAAAACATGTAAATGTATTATTGTATAGCAGCTGTCCACGCGGACGCATCGCTTACTCGAGTAGGAGTGAGACAGGTCGAGCGCTGCCGAACGCGGAGGCCGATTGTGCCTCTTTGTCGCTCGTTGCGCGCTGTCGCTTGCACTTCAAGCCTTAAATGGAACGCCTCAGAGCGAAGTAACGCCGCATGAGTCATGATTTTTCGTGCGTGCAGCCGGCTCCATCGAATTATAAGACGTTGTCACGTCAAAAATCGTGACTTTGCTTTCATTTAAAATACTATGTTATTTAGGAAACAATAATCCTCGAGATTTACCCTTTCGACGGTTATCATAAAATACATGTGTTTTTTTGTTTCACATTTCACAAGTTTGATTCCCGGTTTTGGCAAGATTTTTTAAAAACTGTGAATGCAGTTCTGATTGTTATTAGAAATAAAATGATGTCTTCTTTCAGTAAAATTCATATCTTCAATATTTGATATACTTTCCCTCCGTGTGACAAACCCGTGAGACGTCCTGTATATTGGCGCGTGTGACTCTCGTTGCGTTTCAGCTTTCACACAGTTACTCTCCAACTTACACCGTAAACGGGAAGAGTTTTCTTGTCAAAAAAAATATTTAACAACCTTCTAAGCTCCCACAAGTTAGTCTTGCCTAAAGATAAAATGTGTAAATAATTAACATATTTGTTTCTTAGGTTTTCACGCACATCACTCATTATAAATAAAACTAGTTTTAACGGGTTAATGCACGAACTTAATTTATTTATTGACGTTTAGCAGCTTTATGTTTTTTTATTTTTATTTACTTTGTCGAGCTACCTTCGAAAGACTTTTATTGAGCGCTCGGATAGTTTTAAAAATCTTCCAATGAAATATCCGAACGCTCAATAAAAATCTTTCGAAGGTAGCTCGACAAAGTAAATAATAAAAAAAAAACATTATTCTTACGATGCAGACCTGAAAAGACTGCGAAACGTCAATCACTAAATTAAGTTCATGCATTAACCCGTTAAAACTAGTTTTATTTAAATAATTAACTTTTTTATGTACTGGTTTAGGAAATCACGACGTAAAACCACGAACAGCAATCGCAAGTCGATGACGTTGATAGATTTGGAAATGGCGGTAACTGGTAAGTAACTATAGTTGTTATCGTAATGTAATATTAATATCCCCACTGCTGGGGTACAGGCCTTCCCTATGAATGGAATATGGCCACCATGTGGGCCCAGTGCGGATAAACGGGTGCTAACGACTGCAGATGCAGCCGGCGCCAACGGCTTAACGTGCCTTCCGAAGCACGGAGGAACGAGAGATAATAATTTTTTGGTCACCCATCCAATGACCGACCACTGCGAAAGTTGCTTAACTTCAACGATCGCAGACGAACGCGCTAACCACATGCGCCATAGCTCCTCTCCGGAATGTAAAAATATTCCTATACAAACGGTCTATGATCACTCTTCTGACATCTTTCCATATTCCGTGGTAGATATGCTAGTATCGGCGGATTGCGACGCGTGGTTCGTAGAATCTCCCAACGAGCTGGCCCTACACATCGTACAAGTCACTAAGGCTATAGCCGAGGCGCCTTACAAGTGAGTAAAAACATTTTAACTGGTACTTATCAAATCATTAGATAATATTCAAATTGTATCTGACAAAAAGTGGCTTAAGCTTATTTATTTTTGAAGTGAAACTTCTTTATCGGCGTTGGAAAAAAATTTACCGTCACATTTTTCGGTTACGCGTCACATTTTTCCGTTACGCGTCATCTTTTTTTATATTAATAGTTGATAGCTGAATGATCACACTGTTGTCAGCGATACTCGCTCAGCGATACTAGCTCAGCGATACTCGCTCAGCGATACTCGCTCAGCGGTACTCGCTCAGCGATACTCGCTCAGCGGTACTCGCTCAGCGATACTCGCTCAGCGATACTCGCTCAGCGATTCTCGCTCAGCGATTCTCGCTCAGCGATACTCGCTCAGCTACTCGCTCGGTTAAGCTGGCTTGGCTGTCAAAAGCCATGCGCGTGCATTTTAACTCAGGACTGCCAATTCGTTTCTAGTTTCTACTCGCTTATCGTTCATCGTCGGAGGTGGAACATGTGCCTTAGATTACTGAGCCGTGTAATCATAACAGTTTCATAGGCAGTAATTTGTATTCATGTCTATGATAATAAAATCCTTTTGTTTAAACTTTATCTAATTTAACTTTATTTAACCAATTTCTGGAAAGTTGCATGTAGATCATTTTTCGAAAAGTAAGGCCATAAAGAAGTTTCACTTCTTACGTGTGTACACTAGTACACGCACACATTTTTTTATTTCATTTATTTATTTAGGCATGCTAACAGTCACACATATTCATACATTAATGAATGGGTCGGATACTATACAGTTTTCTTATATGCATACCAATTATAAGCATACACAACAATCACAATAATGTTAATAAACAACTTGATACAATTCAACTGATTGACTTGATCACAAATCTATGTATTTTAAACGACTATATTATGGATAGATTGATGGACTGCGTTAATTTATTCAAATACATACATACAAAAGAAGAACAGATTATGTATGCTTTCCAATTACAGAGCATAATGCGACTCAGTGCCGCACAATGCCCAATTATGCTGATGCTTAATTGGAACGTGAATTAGTTTTCAAATGCACCAGCAGAGTGCGCTAAGTTCAGTGTTGAAAAAAAAAGTCAATGTTTGTACCTTCATCCATACTTATATTTATTTTTTAACAGTTTGAATGAACTTTGATTATTTAAAAAAAAAGCTATTTAATGAAACGAAAGCTTTGATAATTTTTCAACAATAAATAATATTACTAACGATAACATATAAATAAAACATTCCGATCAATGCCAACTTAAAGAAAAAACACTTGTTAATTTTCTGTCTCTAAGTTGGTACGATTGCACGCATCACACGAAAGCATCACTTTTGAGAGTGCTCAATTGTGCGAAGCGTTGCTGTAGTTGGAACACTCAACGTTAAGCATTATGCCGCATAATGCACTATAATGCTGTAATTGGAAAGCTACCTATTTCGCTATTTATTTATTTGTTGTACCAAAGTGTTTCAGCAACTTTCCCCTAAAGCAGGGTAGGCGAACCTTTATGAATCAACGTGCCATTTTTTCTAAAAAATCTTCAATTGGGTCATTGGCATGCCATCAAATAATTTTGACTTTATGATCATTTAGAAGATAATAATATAAATACTATCATAAATCTTTATGAAATAAAGTAAACCAAAGAGACACATTCTGGAATGTTTTTATTACACGCATAAATTAGATTACTGTAAAATTAGTGTGACTTCTGTTGCTGCAGGTTTGATAACAAATAATTTATGTTAGGGTTGTAAGATGCTACTTTTAGCAAAATGCATGCTGAACTGGATTCATCTGTCAAACGGTTTCTAAACGAGTTTTTAATGTTATTCATCTCTGAAAACAATGACTCGCAGGCATAGGTAGATGAAAACATTGTTAAAATAGCATGTGCTAACTTCTTCAAACAGTTACTTCGTAGCGTAGGATCACTCGCGTTCGATCGTCATAAAATACCTACTTAAATCATTTTTTACACATGTTTTATGATTGGCGACGTGCCCAAAATATTGTGTCGCGTGCCATCAGTGGCACGCGTGCCATTGGTTCGCCTACCCTGCCCTAAAGGATACAAGACCATCAATAAATATATCTATGTGTTAACTCCAGGAAATAATAATCCCAATCTTGATTCGTTTACAGGCATTTAATCTTCAATAAAGATAATTACAGAATTGCTAATATTAATAAGTATAATGTGTATGCAATCAAAGGAAGCGAGTACAATTTTTCTGCGTCTTGTCTTCTCTCAAGCCGTTATAATAAAAAAAAACGATTGTTGCCGACAACGCCCGTCGGCCGCCGTCGTGATCATTCGGTAGTGTTCGGCGGTTCGCGTATTTCCCGCGCGTAGTTCAAGCGCGAACATCCTCCCCCGTTGAAGAAGAATTCTTCAACTCTTCAGTGCTGGACTCGTCAAAATGAAGAGGACAAAGTCGACTCAAAGCTCTTCGAATTACTCCATTGCTAGTACAAATGTCCGCCACTCGAGGAATTCCATCTTTACCAGGAAACAAAGCTTGGATTCTCCCCATTCTCCACTTTAATGGTGGCAAGTTGTCTTCTTTAATAATAACCAAATCTCCTTGTTTCAAACTGTAATATTGCTGCTTCCATTTAATACGATGCTGTAGTTCTGCTATATATTCGTTATGCCAGCGTGACCAATAGTGTTGTCTCATTTGTTCCAACTGATTATAGCGATCCAATCTGCTGATCTTTGCGTCTATCAACTGCGGCGATGGAAGTGCTGTCATTGGCCGTCCGATGAGAAAATGCCCAGGTGTGAGAGGACAAAGGTCACTGGGATTGGAGGACATGGGACAGATAGGACGAGAGTTAAGGATAGATTCTATTTGAGCGAATAACGTCGTAAGCTCTTCAAAAGTTAAATGTCTATCGCCTAAAATTCTTTTTAAATGAAATTTGGCCGACTTTACACCGGCCTCCCATAGTCCGCCAAAATTTGGTGCATACGCTGGTGAGAAATGAAATTTGATTCCTTCATCGGAACCAATCCGAGTTAAATCATTTTTATTATGCAAAATTAACCTATCCAATTCATTCTTAGTTCCCACAAAATTAGTACCGTTATCGCAAAATATATTCTTTGGTTTACCACGTCGTGCAATAAATCTTTTTAAGCTCAAAATAAACGCATCTTTACTTAAATCGCTTACCGCTTCCAGATGAAGAGCCTTGGTCGCAAAACAGACAAAAATACATAAATAACATTTGCTTATTTTGCAACCACGACCCTTTCTATCAGTTATATAAAAGGGACCTGCGAAATCAACGCCTGTTGTTTCAAACGGTATTCCCGGAGTGAGACGTTGGTTTGGCAGATTACCCATTAAAGGCTGCAGTGTCTTTGCTCGAAAACGTTTACAGATTCCACATTTGTGAGGTATACTTCTGGCAAGGTTTCTACCGTTAGTGACCCAAAACTGCTCACGTACCGCGGCTAATAGCAATTGAGGGCCCGCATGCATAAGACGCCTATGTTCATGTTCAAAAATAAGGACTGATAAGCGATGCTTTACGTCAAGAAGCATGGGATGCTTTTTATCGTAGCTAAATTTCGAATTATCTATTCTACCACCAACTCTAATCATACCTACTTCATCCAAAAATGGGTTCAGAGACAAAATCTTAGATTTGGGGTCTAAAAACTGTTTTTTCTTCAGTGCCTGTATTTCTTTCCCGAATGACTCTGACTGAGCTAATTTTACTAAAGCATCTATACTGTTTTGTAATTCCTCTGTAGTTAAATATGACGATGTAATTTTTACTTGCGATTTTTGACAATTATTTATGAATCGTAATATATAGCCCATTACTCTCTTTAAGGTATTCAAATTAGAATATTTATTAAATATTTGAGATAATTCATTATCTACTACAGTTTGCAAGATAATAATTTTTTCATCATAGTTATGACATCTCTGCGAATTATACTTTTTGGCAGGCCACTGTGACTCATCCTGAGTTAAGAACTCGGGGCCTCCCCACCAAAAATTTGCAATTTTTTCCTCAAATTTATCTACACCCCTTGAAACGAGATCTGCGGGGTTCGCATCGGTGGGAACATACCTCCATTCATAATTTTCTGTCAAAGTTTTAATTTTGTTTACTCGATTTGCCACAAACACTTCTAATTTCCGACTTGCAGAGGTATGTAGCCACCCGAGAACTACCATTGAATCCGTCCAATGCACACAACGCCCTACCTGGCAACGCAGGACTTGCCTAACCTTGGCGCTCAACTCAGCAGCTAGCAGCGCACCGCACAGCTCAAGTCGTGGGATCGTCGTGGACTTCAAGGGAGCTACTCTTGATTTTGCGCATAACAGCTTTACCCAAACCCTTCCATTCTGATCCACTGAGCGTATATATGCACAGGCGCCATATGCTGCTTGAGAGGCGTCTGAAAATATATGTATATCAATAATTTTTACATTTTTACAAAACACATGTCTTGGCACATTCACACAAGACAGTGAATTAACCGAATTTACAAAGGTTGACCACATTAACATAATCTCGTCTGTCACCTTTTCATCCCATTCTAATTTGCATTTCCATAAATGTTGCATTATTAACTTTGCCTTAATAATAAATATACTCAACAAGCCAAGAGGATCAAATATTTTAGCTATAGCAGATAGCAAGTTTCTTTTTGTAATATTTTCCATTGTGGAAATACTTACGGGAAAAATAAAACTATCGGACAAAGGTGACCATGTTAACCCTAACGTTCCCGTAGTCGCTTTTTCATCTGCTATTATATGATTATCACTAGAGTTACTTTCATTGAATTGAACATTTGAATTTGTACGAAATTTCCTCAAATTGAATCCTGCCGATTTCAAAACATTTATAATTGATTTAAATGTTGTTTCTAATTCCTTCTCAGTTTCAAATCCTGTCAAAATATCATCGATGTAATAATCGTGTTCGATAATACCCTTTATTTTCGGGTTATTACATTCTTGAGCTAATTGATGAAGGCAACGCGTGCTCAAAAAAAGGCGCAGACGCAGTACCATATGTGACCGTGTTTAGTTTAAAATATTGCAACTTCTCGCCTTCATTTTCTCTCCATATTATCATTTGCCAATGTCTATCACTTTCGTCGACCATTACCTGCCTATACATTTTTTCTATGTCTGCCGTAATGACAAAACTATGTTGTCTAAATCTCAATAAGATGCTAAACAAATCATCTTGTATAATCGGACCGACAGCCTGCACATCATTTAACGACCGCCCGGAGTTGGTCTTCGCAGATGCATCAAATACCACCCGAAGTTTCGTCGTTTCACTTTTCTCTCTCAGCACCGGGTGATGCGGTAAATAATAAGCAGGGTCGCATTTACTAGAAACTGATAAATGACCTAATTCCTTATATTCGTTTATAAATCTTACATATGATTCCTTTAAATCCGGTTGCTTTCTAAATCTTTTTTCTAAGTTATAAAAGCGTCTCTTTGCAATAAAAGTGAATCACCTAATGTGTCATAAGGCGAAGTATGAAACGGAATTTTTACACAAAACCTACCGTTTTGTAACCTATACGTATTTTCTACAAAATGTTTTTCACAAAATTGCTCCTCTGTATTTTTCACTAAATCTGTGGATGGAATTTCTTCAATCAACCAGAATTTTTCTACCATATTATTTAGATCAAAGCTAAGTTGGCAGCTTACTGCATTTTTACTCGAACCTTGTGTACTCAAAGGACCCGATATCAACCAACCTAACCTAGAATTTTGCAAAATGGGTTTACCTTTACCTAACCGTATTTGTTTTCCCCACACTATTTCCCAAAATAAATCCGCTCCAATTAATATATCTACTTCAGCGGATACATGAAACTGAGGATCTGCTAATTTTACCATAATATTTTTAGGTATATTCAAAGACTGCACGTCTACATTTACATTTGGTAACATACCAGTTATACTTTTTACTACCATGCCACTTATTTCGGTCGAGAAATTACCTTTCATCGATCGCATTACTAATTTACATCTATCCGATATACTTAACTTAATATTTCCTATGCCTGATACCGTCATAGGCTGCTCGTTTTTTACACTATATAATCCCAACTTGGCGCGTAAATTTTCGGTTATCATGCTTATTTGACTCCCGCTATCCAGTAAGGCGCGCACTACAAATACTTCCTTTGTAATAATATTTACTACTTGAACGAGCGCCGTAGACAAAAGAACATGCTGTGCGGGGATTGCCACCGCCGCTTCAGTCGTAGATAACGAAACCGGTTCTGAAGCGGCCGCGCACAGATGATCGCTATGCACTTGTGATACGAATGACTGTGAATTATTATTTACGACACTGCTATTTTGTACCTTAGACCTATGCAATAAGGTATGATGCTTATATCTACAGGTTTTACACGGACTGTTACGGCAATTTTTTGCGTAATGTCCAACGCTCAAACAATTTACACATAATTTATTTTTCGATACTAAATTATTACGTTCCTCCAAGGTCATGGAAATGAACTTAGGACATTCATACAAACGATGCATTTGCTTGCATACTATACAGCTCAATTTATAGTTGTTACTATTTGACGCTTGGCCAGATGTTACAAATGTTGATACCCTATCATTCTTATTAAAACATTTGTTATACTTTACAGTTTCTAAGAAATCTGCTCTATTCCTTAAAAAACAAAAGAATTCCTCTAATGTTGGAATATCACTGAGAGACCCTTTATGTTCTTCCCATTTTCTACTAGTGTAATTGTCTAATTTCATTACAATTAAATAAACAATGAGTGAATCCCAGTGTTCAACTGGTTGACCTAAGTTTTTTAAAGCATTTAAATTTTTTGTCACATGGTCCATAATGTAACGAAGAGAGGTGTCAGACTCCCTTATCATATTTTCTATACCAAAAAGTGCCTTTAAATGATTATTAATTAACAACCTTTTGTTGTTGTACCTGTCGCATAGAAGGCACCATGCAGCCATATAGTTATCAGAACAAAATTCAATTGATTTAATCTCCAATGCAGCACTACCCTCCAATGAGGATCTCAAATAATGAAATTTATTTATGGTATTTATACTGTCATTGCTATGAATTAACGAAATGTAAGTATCTCTATATTCCAACCACTTACTATAACATCCATCAAACATGGGCAACTTGATGGTAGGAAGAGATATATTATTATTTACTAGAACATTGCCTGTATTATTTGATTGATTGACAACTGTGTCTGATAAACTTTGCCTCCTATTTGCAATGATACTCGCTTCCTCTATGATAGATTGGGAACTAGACATTAAAGAAAAAAAATCATTTTCCATGGACTCCCTCTCATTGAGTTGATCAGAAGAATTGTCACTTAATATTTCTATTTCGGTTTGTAGATTATCAAAGGCGGATAAACTATTTTCTAATTTATTTAGTCTTAATTTTAATTCTGAAAGTTGCTGCGTAGTTAATTTATTTATATCAATTTGCCGAATAATTTCTAAATAATTCTTAAATATTGTTAATTGACCTTTTAGACAACTGCGCCTTTTGACGAGCTTATCAAGAGCTTCTGCCATAATGATGTGGGAAATAAGAAATCAGAGGAAATAAATTATACAATACTAAAAACTAAGTAAATACCTCGAACTGCTTCTCCGAAGGATCCTCTCACCACTCACCAGGTGTGATATGTTATAAAATAGCTATTAATTTGTTTATTCTTTCCAATGATGCATCAAATTATATGCTTGGTACATCCAATAATCGGTGAAAGGCCGGTGCAGTTGTTTAAAGTTTGACCTGGAATTTACAATATTTATATACAACAACTACAAAAAATATACTTAACCTGAAAGAAAATGATAAACCTTTATGCAAATTTCAAAAAACTAAGTACTTATATTTTTTTTTTTTTACTTTGCGAAGGTAGGTAACTATTATACGCGTTTGCAAATTACTGCCTTTTCTACCTTTATACTCTTATTTTTATTATCTACTATGCACAATAACACTTATTCGACGTTACTCGTCCAAAAGAACTAGGGGATGGATCTAAAAGAAAGGAATAGGAACGGGCTCACCAATTTCTATCCCAGACCAGCAATCTTCCTTCCAGTCTAAATCCTGGTCACGGCACCACTTTTCCTGTTAACTCCAGGAAATAATAATCCCAATCTTGATTCGTTTACAGGCATTTAATCTTCAATAAAGATAATTACAGATTTGCTAATATTAATAAGTATAATGTGTATGCAATCAAAGGAAGCGAGTACAATTTTCTGCGTCTTGTCTTCTCTCAAGCCGTTATAATAAAAAAAAACGATTGTTGCCGACAACGCCCGTCGGCCGCCGTCGTGATCATTCGGTAGTGTTCGGCGGTTCGCGTATTTCCCGCGCGTAGTTCAAGCGCGAACACTATGCTTGGATCTTTGGCGCCAATCTCATTATAAGCTGCGGGCCGGCAAGGTGAGGACGGTTGGTGTGGCAGTTTATAACTGCTGTACCAGCTGTCTTCGCGTTTAGACTTTACCACCACTTAACATCAGGTGGGGTAGAGTCATTTGCTTACCGAGCTATATATATATATATAAAAAAACGACGGTTTGCATTGCAAAAGATATAGTATATTTTTTCACGGAACATATATGTATGAATTGAACCTAGAAGAAAAACTATAACGAAGCGAGAAAGGGACTACTAGTATAATAAAAATAAAACGACGGGTTGCACTCCGGGAGTGCCGGCAGAAGTGAAAACTTGAATATTAATGTTGTGCATTTTTGATATTTTGGAATGGTTAGGGAATAATTATGCACGAATTGCTTTTATTATCAGTATAAAAGTACTATAATGTATGTGGTAGAATACAATATTTATTTATTGCGCCATCGTACACGAACATGATAATTTATATTACATTAAAAAAGTTTATCTCTCAGAAAAATCAACTTACATGAAACACATTTAAGCGCACCTAGCGACATCTATTGTAAAAACAATGCATTTTCTTCGCAATAAAGCTGCCACGTGGACGTCCTAGATAGAGTCTTATTATTAGAATACGATAAAATAAAATATTACTATGTTTCGTCCAATGTATTGAAAGTCACCAACCTTTCCAATTTTATTGTGTGTCATGATGCGATCAGCCCACGTGTTTAACCTGATGCGAGTTTAACATTTTTTACCCATACAAAAAAAAATGTACAACGCCGCTAAAGAAGTTTTCACTTCAAAAATATTTAACTACATTAATACTAATTATTTTTTGATAGTTTAACCGGTGGACTAAATAGAATTTCGTTTACTTTACCCAGGGGTTGCTAGATCGTCGGGAATCTCTCAAGATATCTCTATCTCTCTCGGGTAACCCCGATATCTCGATCTGGTAACCCCGTAAGTCTTTACCCCGTCATCATCCGTATTTTATTTTTACAGGCAAGCTAAAAGAGATATTGATGAACAGGCAGACTTTTATATGAGGGGCGACAACAAGAACAGCGTCGCAGTAGACCCGGATGGTGAGTCATCAGCCTATTAATGTCCCCACTGCTGGGGCACAGGCCTTCCCTATTGATGGCATAGGGAGATCGGGCCATGACCCACGTGCGGATTGATGGGTACTTACGATAGCAGATGCAGCCGGGACCGGCGGCTTAACGTGCCTTCCGAAGCACAAAGGAACTCGAGATAGAAGATTTTTGGTCACCCATCCAATGACCGACCACTGCGAAAGTTGCTTAACTTCAACGATCGCAACCGAACGCGCTAACGCCATCGAGCTCCTCCACAGTAAAATAACACTACATTTCGGTGGTAATGTGTTTCAGTCGGTGAGTAAGGATCTAGAGCTCCACGTGGTAGAGATTGGGTCAGGGTAGGCAACCGTCGCGAGTGATATTTTTTGTATCGCAAGCGTCTATAGCCTGGGTTCCGAACCCGGGGGTAATTACCCCTCCGGGGGTAAATCAGCCATACTTCGGGGGTAAGAAAGAACCTAAATATTTGGTCAAATATAAATAACTAGCAAACCAGTGAACCAAATGTTCAACAAAACTTGATTTAAAAAAAAATGTATTTAATTAATTGAGAACTTCAGAGATTTTGTGTGGTTTCGTTTGAAATTCGTGATTTCTCGAAAACCGGAAGTGCTACGTTACTCAAATCCGGTTTGTAGTCTTATCAGATTATTCTTAACTTATAAGTTAAATATTCTCTTTATCTATCTCTTACGGTTTGGCCGCTGAAACAGCACCACAGACAGACGGACGGACGGACTTGTCTAATAGATAAGAAATACTACTAAATAGAGCATGCGCTCCTTCTTGCTAGTGAGCCCGCGGGGTGCTGAGTACATTAGTAAAGTCGAACATTTAGCGGCCGAATTGAAATTTCTTGAACTGATGATAACATTTTTTAAGTCGGGGGGTAAAATCTGTTTCCCTAATAGGTTACAGGGGTAGCAGTATTGGAAAGGTTAGGAAACACTGGTCTATAGGCTATTGTAGCCTGTAGGCTTTCAATCAGGCAGGCCACCCCCCCACGACAACGGCTAACTAGAGCCGAGGTCCGAGTCTCAGAGACGCCCTCTAGTTGAGCCGACCCACCTCAGGTGCTCGTGGTGTAGAGGCTCCAGACGGAGAGGAGACTCCCCCCGTGGGGAGATGCCATCCGCCTGGAATACCTCCAGAGGCACTCGACAATAGGGATGATGACGGGGTACAGTAAACGAAATTCTATATAGTCCGTCAGTTAGATGATCAAAAAATAATGGACACGTATTTTTTCTTTGGGCAATCAACCAAAAAAATGACAAAGTTATAGCGCGTCAAAGTTTGGGAGGAGGGGCTCGTGACGTCACTTTTGAGTGAATTTTCACTTATAAGTGTACTCAAACGTGACGTCATGCGACTTTTCAAATCAATATATCTCTGCAATGTTTATATTATGTGAAAAAAGAAAAAATACGTGTCCAATACTTTTTGATATAAACGAAGAAAAAAAAAATAGTCATCATCCCTATTCTCGTCTGTGGTCCCCTTAAGATCTCGCCGTCCCCAAACCCGGTGACGCTGTAAAGGTCATCTGCGACCGGCGAAAAAGGAGGGCCATATACTTCTTTGCCACCTAAAAAACGATAAATTTGTATTTAATAATAATAATAATTTATCGTCTTATTTTTTACATGTTAACAGATATTTAAATAACATTTTATTAAAAATAAGACAATAGGGAATGGCTCAGCCAATGTTGGTCAAGCCTAAACCTGAACCAACGCTGTTTTTCAGTCTCCCCTTAACAAATTTTACTTAAAATTAATAATATAGAGAACCTCGAATTACAATTCGAATTAAATGAGTATAAATTCGTAAATATGTAGTTGACGACCTCCGTGACCGAGTGGTTTGTACGCCGGGTTTCATGGTGTCGCCGACTCGAGAGGTCCTGGGTTCAAATCCCGGTGGGGGCAGATGTTTGTGTGATGAATACGAAAATTTGTACTCCAGTCATGGATGTTTAATATCTATTTCTATATAAATACTAGCTGACCCAGCAAACTTCGTACCGCCCTAAAAAAATATGGGTTGTCCAGCGGACAAAATTGTGAATCTAAACCATTCTCAGATCCCCTTGAACACACACAAAAAATTTCATCAAAATCGGTCCAGTCGTTTAAGAGAAGTTCAGTGACATACACACTCACAGAAGAATTATATATATAAAGATACATATATATGTACAGTATATGTATTCTATCCGTTGCCCTAGTATCCCATAACACAAGCTTTATAGTGCTTACTTTTGGGGCTAGGCTAATTGATGTGAGTGTTAAAAGAAAAAAAAAAGTGATAGAACCCTGATAATTTATTTATTTATTTATTAACATCAACAAAATTAACACCAATTCATTATAAAGTAACTTACAAACAATGTGGAAGCGAAGTAAGTGCAATCTTAATTATAGATGTTACACAATAGCACTGACAAATCATAAATATCTCATAACAAAATTACACTTTTTAAAAATCTTCTATTAATGTGAAATGCTTAGTAGCAAAATATAAAACTAAATAATTATTAAATAAAACTAGTTTTTACGGGTTAATGCAAGAAACTTTATTTATTTATTGATGTATCGTAGCCTTTACAGGCTACGTCTTCAGAATCAAACTACAAAGTTTCGAAACGTCAATAAATAAATAAAATTTCGTGCATTAACCCGTAAAAACTAGTTTTATTTAATGAGTGATGTGCGTGAAAACCTAAAAAACTGAATAATTATACTAAAATTAAAAACATTTCATTAAAATTATATCATTATTCGGTTAAACGTCACAAAATATTGTAAAGTAATGGAAATTGATGTTATAATAATTATAGCAAACCCTAACATACTGATTATAGTGGTGAAATTTTTGTTTTTTTTATGTGAGTACTACTAGGCGCCCGCTACTTTGTCTGCGTGAAATAATTGGTTTCCCATACAAACTTGTACTCCCCTCTTCGCCCACTTAAAGGATGGTTTCTGGGATGAAAACTAGCCTATGCCTGCCTAGCCGAGACCCGTACTATCCATATACCAAATTTCATTTAAATCGATTCAATTGTTTAAGCGCAAGGAATCTGCGTGGAATAAAAGATGATTTCTGGGATAAAAGCTATTCTATCATCCTATGACCTTTCCCGGGACTCGAAACTATTTCCACAACAAATTTTATTCAAATCGATTCAATTGTTAAAGCGTGAATATTTCGCACATCGTCTGGAAAACGCACAAAAAATGAGTTTTGAGAAAAACGCGTTTCTGTTTACTTTTTATTTTATTTATGTTGAGTACTGCTTACTTAGTATCACTTAGAGACGCCATCTTTTGATAAATTTTCAAACTAAAGTTCTGACTGTTTTATTGATTGGTGGAGAAGCAAAAACCTTATCGGGCTGAATTACTATCTCAATTCGAGTTTATCTAGTATCCTGACGGCTTTTCAAGGGATTAAATTTAAATAGAATGACAGACACACTTAAGCTTTTTCAATATTAAAGGATTTAATTTAAATAGAAAGATAGACACACTTTCGCTTTTTCAATATTAAAGGATTTTAAAGGATTTAATTTAAATAGAAAGATAGACACACTTTCGCTTTTTCAATATTAAAGGATTTAAAAGGATTTAATTTAAATAGAAAGATAGACACACTTTCGCTTTTTCAATATTAAAGGATTTTAAAGGATTTAATTTAAATAGAAAGATAGACACACTTACGCTTTTTCAATATTAAAGGATTTTAAAGGATTTAATTTAAATAGAAAGATAGACACACTTTCGCTTTTTCAATATTAAAGGATTTTAAAGGATTTAATTTAAATAGAAAGATAGACACACTTTCACATTTTCAATATTAAAGGATTTAATTTAAATAGAAAGATAGACACACTTTCGCTTTTTCAATATTAAAGGATTTTAAAGGATTTAATTTAAATAGAAAGATAGACACACTTTCGCTTTTTCAATATTAAAGGATTTTAAAGGATTTAATTTAAATAGAAAGATAGACACACTTTCGCATTTTCAATATTAAAGGATTTAATTTAAATAGAAAGATAGACACACTTTCGCTTTTTCAATATTAAAGGATTTTAAAGGATTTAATTTAAATAGAAAGACAGACACACTTTCGCTTTTATAATATTTGTATGGATTGTGTGAATAGGAAGGAACGTGGGTGCAGCGTGGCAGCAGATGTTATCAGTTCTCCCCCTCTCCAGTCTAGAAGTATCCAGAGCCATTCTGTCACAGTACAAATCACCAACGGAACTGCACCAAGTAAGATATGCAATATTCCACGAATATTATTCACATTTTAAAGTGTTGCCATATGAAAATAAAAAAATTAAAAAATGTTATACTTAGGATTCACCCTTTTGACGGTTATTATAAAATACGTCATGAGCTTTTTTTCACATTTCACGAGTTTGATTCCCGGTTGTGCCGAGAAATTCCAAGCGGAACAGGTAACATCCGGGCGAACGCATTGACCATTATGCTACCGCGGTATGATTTTTTTTGTTAAACAAATTTAAAAATCTTTAAAAAATTTAAACAAATTTAATTCTTTTAAATTATTTCATTAAATTAAAATTAATTAAATAATTTAAATAAATAGCCCGGATAGCGAAGGATGCGGGTTCGAGTCCCATCTGCTGCCTGGTCCCATGGATTTTATTTCTAGTATTTTTTTTTTCATTAAACCATCTAGCAGTTACATGGTTAAAAAATAAAAAATATTATTTTAATGAACTTATTTCAGTTATAATTTTTATTATTTTAAAGCATGTAACTGCTTGATGTTTAAATCTAAAGAAAATCTTTTTTCTAGTTATATTTTCTTTAGATTTAAACATATAGCAGTTACATGCTTTAAAATAATAAAAACTATAACTATAGTTGCTATTTCTTCTTTCAAATGTTTAATACTTGTAAAAGTATTCATTTGACATTGTGGGTTACCTATAATGCGAAGAGATGGCGCTGCCTTGCAACTTAAGAATGGTTAGAAGAATTTCGACGCGGTCCGTGAGGGCCGCGGTAGCATAATTGGTCAGTGCATTCGCCCGGATTGCGAAGGGTGCGGGTTCGAGTCCCGCCTGATGCCTGGTCCGCGTGGATTTTTTTCTAGTTATATTTTCTCTGAACTTATTACACTTTATTCAATTTAACAGGCATTGGTACAGTCGGACGGTGTGAACACACTCGCGTCGTTGGTCGTCCCGCGTACAAATGCTCCGAACGCGCGCGCCCGGCGACTCGGACCGGAGTTCGCTACGAAAATGCACGCGCTTTTCACATGCGAGAACGGAGATACTCTGCTCGGATGACTGTTACTGGCTATAATAAATTATTTGGAAAGAAATGGTCTTTTTATTACGATCTGTTATGTACTGTCTATAATAAATTATTTGAAAAGAAATGGTGGTTTTATTTCGATTTTTTTTTTCGGCTTATAAATTGATGAACATCGGCTGTGCTAAAGCTAAAACATAAGTTTCCGGTTATAATAAGGTAATATGTGGCCTAAGTCGGGCACTTATACACTTACAGAGGCCAGTGTTGCCAGATCAAAAATCCGATGGAGCGCTGAAATGATAAAATAAGCGCTGGATTTTAAGAAAAAAGCGATAGATCATGTGCTTAATCAATTTTAGAACTTCCCCCAAAATTTAAACATGAATGAATGAAAACAAAACCATGAACTAATGGCAGAAATAATACTATTTATCCGTCTTGTTGTGTTGTGAGTTGTGACGCATCAGAGATATATCGGTTTCATACATTTACTAGTACGGTTAGATATTATTCAGAGTATGAAACCGATACCTTTCTGACGCGCCACTCAACACAAGACTACAGAAGTGTAGTTCTGTCATAAAAAAATAATAGAGGGACTTCCCGAGGTTATAAATTATCGGTAATAGAGTGTAACAATAACATAAATGAAAAGCGCCAGATTATCCGATAGGCGCTAAAATTTTTAAATAGGCGCTAACCACCAGAAAAGCGCTAGATCTAGCTAAAATGGCAGCACTGACAGAGGTGTGCTTGTGCTCAAACGAACCGGAACAAAAACTTTACAAAATTGCCCCAATGAATACAGCGAACGCTAGGTACGTTATCACATAAATTAAAGCCTAGAAACCGATTTTTTAAAGATATCTATCATTTTTTTAATTATTCCACGCCTTCAGGCAGCAGACTGGACCCGGACCTACATCCTCCGCTACCCAGGCGGATGCACTGACCAATTATTCTACCAGCTAATGCATATTTTCAAGCCGGGTGGACCTCTTTTGACGTGTAACGTCTTATAAATCGATGAACACCGGCTGCACGCACGAAAAAGTGTGACGTCATGGCACGTTAGTTGAGAGGTTCCTTCGACACTCCTCTCCCCCTGATCTGTACCCCTGCCAATAGATTTTTTTTGTTGATTTACTAGGGTACAAAATTGATTGAGTGGTACAGATTGACATCAATAATAGATTTTTGGTCTCGAAAAATCTACACTTCGATTAATCGATCTCTGATCGCCATCCCTATTCCTCTTTGAGCTATAGATCCGTTAAATAGTAGATACTGGTGCCAATTCTGGCGTGATTCTCTAAAGTTAAAACTAAATTAAACATTAGTCTCTCCTTTTCATTCTGTATAGAGAATGACAAGGATATACTGCTGTCAAATTTAAGTTTAGGTTTAGAGAATCATGCTAGAATCGACACCATTGTGAAATAAAATTGGTATGATTTTGTGTTACAACCGTCTGCGTAACTGAAGAATTAGTGGAATCTTTAAAATATATGCTATTCCAGTCAAGTGGACGTGAGAACTTTATTGTAGTGTTCATTACCTCACAGAAGCTTATCGAAAATGCTAATTCGATACATTTTGTGCCAAACACTCCAAGAAACCGACATTCGAATGTAAAAAAAAAAAAATCTTAAGACTAGGTTGTATCGGCATTGTTCCCTTTGCCTTTCTTGAAAAGGGAGAAACTTAAAAGAAAACATATTCCTGTTGTAGTGTTGTCAAATTTCATTATGTCAATCGCCGAGTCGAATTCGAATGCGCGATATAACCGCAGTTTATGTAATAAAAAAATACATTTAATTTCAACTTGATTACTATTATATTGTTTCTATAAAATATAAACATGACTGTGTACTTATCAAGAATCATATTCAACGCTGTGCGCAGTGCATCGACGAGATGTCTCAGCGTACCGGAACTTTTTCTGCCGCAAATTGGTTTTCATTCTAGGAAAAGCGTTTTTATTTGTTTACCGTGCACTGCTCAATGTAGGAATTACTCCAGTGGTGGTGTCCAGTCTACTGTTGCGTTAGATAGTCCCTCAATACCTTTGAAAAAGAAGATATTGTATAAAAAAGTTTCTCTGGACGACCTGACAAATAAAGATGGGCATTACCTGTCTATGGCGTACGTGACCGCAAACAGCTATGATTTGAAAGGCTTGAAGGAAGCCTTGGTGCAACAGAAGCTTTATGAGCCAGCAACGTAATATTTTGTTTTTAATTTTTAAATTCTATGCTGTAACTTGCATGATGCAATAAGTATTAAAAAAAAACTTGATTTTTTAATGTAAATACATACCTGTATCTCTTATCTTGTAGGCAGATATTATTCATATTTATATAAATGATGTAACAGATTTTGGTTCTGTCAATTGAATCAGTTTTGTTTCTTGCTAGCCTAACATGAGATACATAATATATATTTTTTTATTGTATATTTTAATGGTTTCTTATAGTTGAGCAAACTTTTCCAATTTTTAAATAATTTGACCTCACTGTAGGCTGCAAGCACAAGAAGTTGGCGATGTGGTAATAGCTAATGCGGTGTATAGTGTGGGCTCGGAACCACGGGAGATCATCTTCTTCAGGGAAGGTGCTGTTGTTTTCTGGAATTGCACTGAGTTGGAAGCCAGCAACGTCTTGGAATTAGTCAGAAAGTAATGTATACTATGATCAAATTATAACTTAAAATTTAAAACATTTGTATTGTCAGTATCAAAAAACAATGGACAATAAATTGTTGCTTTCTAGACTACTTACAAACAGTTTTGTTCTTGCTGTTTGTAAAATTACTGATTTTGCTATTAGTACCCTATATAAAAATCAGCATCCAAATAAATTGTTCTTAGCTCTTATAAATTCAATATTGATCAGTCTAACAAGAGCAATAGCTTTTTCCAAATCAGGGAGAGAAAAAGCTATTTGCTGCAATAATTCTTAATAGGGTATTTGACAGTGTTAAAAATAAAGTACCAATTGTTAGCATCTGTGTTTAGAATGAATATTGGCAGAGGTTTTTACTATTTTTACAAAAATATTCATAATTTTGCTAAAAACCCACGAAAAAAGATAATAGTTTTCTTATCTATTGTCACTTGACCCAAAACGCTTGGGATTGGCGGGCCTAAAATGATGTCACACACAAGTAAACTTTAGGTCAAAGTGACATTACATTGTATCGTTTGACATTTTGATAACAGTCGTGTGACGTCACACAGTAATAAGACACCATATTGTCCAGAAAAACGTTTTCACGGAAATTCGAAAATGGAGTTTTTGATTTGGTTATTTTTACTGAAATACATACCAGAATGACGAATATCCACTTTTTATGGACTCCATAAACATTAGTCAATAATGTGAGATCGTTTTCTAAAACTTGTCAAATACAAGAGTATTATGTATAAGTATTATAAAACTAGTTTTTACGGGTTAATGCACGAAACTTTATTTATTTATTGACGTTTCGTCAGAAAAAAAAAAAAAAAATTTTATTTAATGAGTGATGTGCGTGAAAACCTAAGAAACAAATATATAAGTATTATGTTAAAATTAAGCCCTCTAATTATTCAATTAAGAGAAATTATGCAGTGTTTGGTCTCCATTTGCCGAATTACAAATGTAATTTGTGTGATGTATATAGTACAGTTAGTTTATGTCCATGTTATTTAATTTGTTTATTAACTTTTCACAGTTTTAAATGGGTATACATTTCTGACAACCTATCCTGAAAAGGATACGAAACATCAAAGTTACTGTAAAAAATATTAAAACCGTATTTATTTCCATTTAAAACCTGTTTCATTCCATCTTAATATGTGAATGCCATTCAATTTGATATATTATAATTTTTTTGTGATTCAAGTTTTAATTAAAAACTATATTTTGGTATTAAACTTTTTGAGGAGCTCGATGGCGCAGGTGGCTAGCGCGTTCAGATGCGATCGTTGAACTTAAGCAACTTTCGCAATGATCGGTCATTGGATGGGTGACCAAAAATCTTCTATCTCGAGTTCCTCCGTGCTTCGGAAGGCACGTTAAGCCGTTGGTCCCGGCTGCATTTGCAGTCGTTAGCACCTACCAATCCGCACTGCGTGGTGGGTCATAGCCCAATCTCCCTATTCCATTCATAGGGAAGGCCTGTACCCCAGCAGTGGGGACATTCATAGGCTGATGATGATGATGATTAAACTTTACTTTCAACGTTTTTCAGATATGAAGAAGATAGCTATCCAAGAGACGTAATTGCAAAGGAGAGAGAAGTGATGACTTACAGTTACAACCCAAATGCGTAAGTCTTTCAAATCATTTGGTCTCTACAGTGTTGTTTTTTAAGTGTGATGATCTCCATTTTTTGTTTTTTCAGGAAGAAATGTTACCTCCAAGAGTCTGGTTTTGTGTTAGTTCCAGAGAAAGATAATTTATTGGAAAAGTTTGCCTTCAGGTGAGTTTAATTTTCTTTTTGTAACTACTCATTTTACGTTCATTATCACTTCTACAAATAAAATTCATTAATGCACTTCATAATTTTTATTTGTCATAATAATTATATTGGTACAGGCAAGCTTTATACTCTAGTTGAATCATACTCAATCCGAAAATGTAACTACATAAAGTTTTCATTAAAATAATTCAGTTAATATTTTGTAGACATCAGGATATTTCATAATTTTAATCAAAATGACATTTTTAAAGTTAGTTCTTCTTTAAATCACCCAGGCATCATAACCTTTAGAGCAATAGCAAGCTTCATTACTTGTAGTCTGGTTGCGGCCACTCGATTTCTCTCAATTCCAATTGGTGGCTGCATCTAGTAGCTCAATGTGCGCGTGCTCTTAGAGCGCGATGACACTGGGTCGTAAGCCCGAATACGATTGCCAATGGAATTCGGATAAACGTCTAAGGGAACGCAGTCGAGTATGCCTGTATTCGGCTTAGATTAAAACAAAAAGGGCCTCACAAAAGTGATCCGCTTAAATTGTGGCCCAAGACCACAATCGCTTTAGTCACAACTTGACATGCAAACGACGTACATGTGAACGCCAAAATGAAATATTGCTAATATTTTGTGTTTATATGATAAAACAATGCCTAAGTGTGTTTTTAAAAAGTGCTCAAATTGCTCAAGAACTAAAAATAAAACCCACGGCATCACTTTTCATTCGTAAGCACTATGAAATATATTTTTTTATAAAAATTGCTGTTTTTTTTTAATCTTATTCGGTAGTGACGTCGAGTAGTGGTCGCGTGATTGGTCGGTAGTGCAGTGACGCGGATCTCGCCGTCTCGTTCGCGCTGCCGTTGAAACTTAACGTGCTGTTTCGTTTGGGTCGGTAATGCAGTGACGCGGATCTCGCCGTCCCTTTCGCGCTGCCGTTGAAACTTAAATTGCTGTTTCGTTCGTTCGATTGTATCTTTACAAACAGGTGGATGTGTGAGTGTTGCATATGTAGTAAAGTGGGATGAGTTTTTGTTTGATGCAAGTATGAGCGTACCGTATCTACCCTTTTTGTTTTAATCTAAGGTATTCGGGTAGTTTTTGTTTTGGTTACCCGACACTGTCTTCCAATGTGAATATTGCTTCAGGTGCCCGAATTCGAGTAATGTCTTTCGGGCACCCGAATATGTGCTCACGACCAAGTGTTTTGAGCTATAAGGTATTGTGAGAAATTACTTCACCGAAAAAGATTATAGGTCTTATTTACATTAAATCAAAAAGGGAAGATACGGTGCGCTCATACTAGCATCACATATAATATGCTCCGACTCAACTAAATAAGCAACACTAACACACGCACACGTCTGTAAATAAACATTCAATCGAGCGAGCGACACAGAACTGTACGTTACACTGCGGCGCGAGCGAAACGGCGAGTCCGCGTCCGAGTCCGCACGACGGAGCTGTATTGTTGTCCCTTTCTTAATAACAAAATGGCGATTATGTTAATAACATTCACGACAAACCGTGATTTTTGAGAAAGAATGTTTTACAGTTTCATGAATGAAAAATGTTACCGAGGCATTTGATTTTGAACTATTATTTGTGTTCTTTATTAAAGCATCGAAGGCATTGTTTTATCTTTATAACACAGAATATATGCAAAATTGTTATATTGAGTACAAATGAAACGTGTTTGAATGGCCAATTGTGACTAAAGCGAATTGTGGTCATGCACCACAATTTAAGCGGATCACTTTCGAGCCGCGGGTGCCGCATCTTCCCTTTTTGTTTCAATCTTAGAGGTCTGAGCGATCTTTGACAATAGCGCCGCAGATTACTGAGGGTCGAATATTGGTTAATCTATTTTACACCCCATACTTTAACCCACAGATATAAATCACGGTAATATTACCTATACTACTTATCACAATACTTTGTGACTCGGCCCTGTCCTTGAAATAACTGCCTACGGCCGAGCGGGGCGTATTCATGCAAGAGGGCTGCCCGCCTACAGTATTTTAATATAATCTACATAATTGAGTTTCTTTCTAGTTTTGTGATTGTAAATATTTTATTTCATATATAATAAAAAAAAAAATATAGATTTGAGACAAAAAAATATTTACGCCTCGACTGAGACGTTCGAAAAGCTTTATTATTAAATTTAATAGTATAATAAATACGCATTCGTATAAAAAGTTTAATTATTGAAGAGTTCAAGCAACCAAAAACAGCACAATATCGACTATTGCTCTTTGCCATATTAAATTATGTAGGTATCTAGTTAATTCAATCAAATATTCACAATACAAAAGTTTAAGCACGGCTAACTGCTTAAAAAACAATTCACACCGTTCGGAAGATAGAATACTGTGTAGATAATATTACCGTGTATAAATTTAACCCTTGATTAAACAAAAAAAATTGTGTGTGTCAGCTCCGACGCACGACTGGAGTATACTCCTTAAGTTCGATAGTCTAACCAAACGCAAAAAGAGTTTATTTAACTTAAAAAAGATTGATACTGTATGAAAGGGTAAATTAACAAATTAATGATATAAATATATATTTATTTATTTCATTATTCATTACTAGTGGCCCGCCCTCGCTTCGCTTCGGTGTAGAGCTGTAGTGTAAACTATAGTTTTTGTTCTCAGGCTTGTGTTATAAAGAATAACTTTATTTATATAATTACACGTGTTATTGTGAGTCAACCATAAAAGATAGATATATGCTGTTGCGGGATATTTTTTAGACAATTTTATGTAGAATATTTCCGTCATACATGATTTCTATGTAACTTTAACCATTAAAGCTGCACACGCGACGGAAGCTTAAAAAATGGAGTAACTTCTCCCGTTTTCCCAACATTTCCCTTCACTACTCTGCTCCTATTGATTGTAGCGTGATGAAAAGTATACTATAACCTGCCCAGGAGTATGAAGAATAATTGTACCAAGTTTCGTTAAAATCTGTCGAGTAGTTTTTGTTTCTATAAGGAACAAACACACAGACAGACAGACAGACAGACAAAAATTTTACTGATTGCATTTTTGGCATCAGTATCGATCACTAATCATCCCCTGATAGTAATTTTGAAAATATATTTCATGTACAGAATTGACCTCTGTACAGATTTATTATAAGTATAGACGAGTAGTTTTTGTTTCTATAAGGAACAAACACACAGACAGACAGACAGACAGACAAAAATTTTACTGATTGCATTTTTGGCATCAGTATCGATCACTAATCATCCCCTGATAGTAATTTTGAAAATATATTTCATGTACAGAATTGACCTCTGTACAGATTTATTATAAGTATAGATAAGTAATCGACGAAATACTTTACATTAAACTTTTTACAATAGTCAATTTCAGATGTGTATAAATATATCATTAGGAATGTTGATAAATTATGTAATTATTATTATCAGACTATTATATTTTTTTTAAATATTAATTAAATCAACATTGTCTGCATTATTAATTACAGTGACAAGTGGTTTATGGTAACTAAAATAAGACACATGGACGTTCGTAGATACGTGGTTCACGAATCTTGAAAATACCGCATCAATGCTTGTACATACCATACCTCGTTGTCCCCATTGCTCTATCAGAAACAATATCTAAATTCAGTTCAGGTTTAAAAAAAAAATTAATGTCAATCCGTCATCTTTGTTTGTCAAAGTTGCGCGACATAGGATGCGCACCAAAAACGTAACGAGGTCATTCATCGATAGATTTTACTCCTCACATTTTTCTCATACCTGGCCCCTTATATATGCAAATCGATTCTTAAGGAGTAAACTCCAATAATGGAGCCGTTATAGTAGTTGATCGTTTGGTTGGTTGCTTTGGATGGTTGGTTTGGTGATTTATTGATTGTTTAACACAGTCACGCCATGGCGCAGTCAGCCCGATTAGGTGCGTGGGAGGCGCGACTAGAAGCCCTCGCGGCCGCGGTACGGAAACACACGCGCCTCGTCAGCGCCGCGCAGATACCGCACGACGATGTGAGTATACTGAGATTCAAACTTTATGACGGTTATTATATTAGCCTGATCTATACATGTAAAACAACCGATTTAAAACGTTTTAAACAAAATGTTGCCGTTTTAAACCCCAAATAAATCGTTTTAAACGGTTGAAAACTGGCATACAAAAATAAAAGAACTATGGTTTTAACACTTCAACAATGATTTTTTTTTATTTACCAATAGAGTTTTTAACTTATGATAAGAGTTTTTATAACTTAGGTAGGTAATACCTACGCTTGGTCGCGGATGGACCAACTAGAACTTAACTCGCTAAGTATATCAATATCAGTAAGTAAATTACACATTTAAAAAATCTTTATAGGTTCTCCGTTATATTCCTACCTCGTTAAATCAAGACAATGTAGTTATAATTAAGAAAAACATAGTCATCAACACCAACCGTTTTAAATCGATAAAAATGGTTTATTTCGGCTTTAAACGGCTTTTTTCGTTTTAAACGGATTGGTTTAATTGGTTTTAAACCGGCCTTACATCTATAGCTGATCTCAAAGTAACGGATAGAATACAATAGCCCTGTATTGTCCCGCGGGCTGTCACACGGAGGGAAAGTATATTAAATATTGAAAATAGGATATTTTACTAAAAGAAGACATGCAAATATTCTACATTAACTTACAATAGGAAGAATAAATCTACTGTTTACTTTTATTGGAAATAGTCAAAATCTTTTCTAAGGGGGTAAACGAGGCGCTCAAAAATTACGATTTTTTGCAAAAAATGTGAAAGGTCTCTTAATAATAGTTGAAAAACATAAAGAGGTTGTTCGCAAAAAATGTTCGCAATGTAAAGGTATATTTGTCATTGACTCTTATGGAAAATTCAAGGGGATAACGAAGAATTTATTAAATCGAGGAAGTCGTTATATTGAGGTACGTCGTTGCACAGTATTCTGAAATACTTTATTATATAAAACTAGTTTTTACGGGTTAATGCACGAAAACTTTATTTATTTATTGACGTTTCGTAGTCTTTACAGGCTACGTCGTCAGAATAAAACTTTTATTTAATTTGTCGAGCTACCTTCGAAAGACTTTTTGTCTTGAAAATGCATTAACCCGTAAAAACTAGTTTTATTTAATGAGTGATGTGCGTGAAAACCTAAGAAACAAATATACTTTATTATATGTTCTCAGGTAGTCAGCAAGTTAGGCGAGTTGTTCTCACTAAGACATCAGCTCAACGTAGAATCGGACTTGCTGGACACGCCGGACTTCTACTGGGAGCAGGAGGAGTTGGAACGGATATACTCCAGCACTGTCGCTTACTTCACCATACCCAGGCGGACCAGGGTGAGTAAACGAAATTAATAGCGGATGGCACAAGTAGTTAGCGCGTTCGACTGCGATCGTTAAAGATAAGCAACTTTCGCGGTGGTCAGTCATTGGATGGGTGACCAAAAATTTACTATCTCGAATACCTCCGTGCTTCGGAAGGCACGTTAAGCCGTTGGTCCCGGCTGCATCTGCAGTCGTTAGCACCCGCCAATCCGCACTGGGCCCGCGTGGTGGGTCATGGTCCAATCTCCCTATTCCATCTATCTTTAGAGAAGGCCTGTGCTCTAGCAATGGGCACACTTGTTTTTTTCCGCAGCTAAAAATATGTCCAATAATGAGTGGTAGGGAAAATAATTTCAGGACAATTACAATGAGTTGTACTATACATCCAATTTGAATAAAGATATTTTGATTTTGATGTCGTCATCGTACAATTTTATATGGAAGGAGTCGGTTTGTCCTAAATGAACAGTTTCGTTGATTATTTATTTAATAACAGGTATACCTAATTCAATAGTGAAGTCGTCTTCACAAATAAAACAAACAATAAATTCTTATAAAATTACATCAATTATTATTTAAATACTGTAAACTATAAAAAAAATGATAATATATATAAAAAAAAGTTAGGCATTTAAACAAAAAACAGATTTTTCCTTTGAAAGAATCCTATAGTGGCCGATCAAGTGTGCTCAGAGCGAAAAGGGAAATGACAGTGACTGCAGAAAATCACGGCTGTTTAAACACATCGCAGTAAGTTAATCCGTGTACAAGACACACATAATATTAGCACTCGAAACAAAAACAGGCTGTATATATATATACCTCCTTCACGCAAAAATATGCTAAACACCAGCCCTTATCACATGTCCATAAAAATATTTAATAAATTACCATCACAAATACGGGATGAGCAAGAGCTGCCTACATTTCATAAGAAATTAGAAAAAAAAAATAACTGACGAATACCTTTTTCTGTCGAAGAATACCTTAATAAATTTAATTGTCTTTTGTTTTTATTAAATGATTGAATCTTCCTAAACAGATTAAATATAATACAATTTTATAATTTCATAATAATAAATGTTTAATTATCTATTATTTGTTATACCTGTACAAGCGGTGACTAACTCATAAGATGCTATGTATCATGTTTAAGAACCGTATGTAACAATTAGTTTGCAAATAAAGTGTTTGAGTTTATATAATTTCCAAAAATACGTTGCCACATGGAGGGAAACTACATTAAATACCTACTGTAGACTGAAAGTATGCATAAAAGAAGACTTTATTTTAATTTGAAAAAGATTACACATCTTTCAAAGAATTTAACAAAAAAAAATATAGCTTAAAACGACGGGTTGCACTCCAGGAGTGCCGGCACAAGTGAAAACTTGAATATTAACGTTGTGCATTTTTGGTATTTTGTAATGGTTAGGGAATAATTTTGCACGAATTGCTTTAATTATCAGTATAAAAGTACTATCATGTATGTGCTAGAATAAAATATATATTTATTGCGCTATCGTACACAAACATGACGATTTATATTACATTAAAAAAGTTTATCTCTCAGAAAAATCAACTTACATGAATCACATTTAAGCGCACCTAGCGACATCTATGGTAAAAACAATGCATTTTCTTCGCAATAAAGCTGCCACGTGGACGTCCTAGATAGAGACTTATTATTATAATACGATAAAATAAAATATTACTATGTTTCGTCCAATATATTGAAAGTCAACAACCTTTCCAATTTTATTGTGTGTCATGATGCGATCAGCCCACGTGTTTAACCTGAAGCGAATTTAACATTTTTACCCATCCAAAAAAGAAAGTGTACAACGCCGCTGAAGAAGTTTTCACTTCAAAAATTAGAATTTATTTATTTGTCCCACAGGTATTGAACGAGCGTCTAGCCCACTGCGTAGAATTACTAGAACTTTTATCTCAATGGGCGTCTGATCGTCACCACGTGAGGCTGGAGTGGATGATCATAGCGTTGATCCTTGTGGAAGTCTGCTTCGAACTGCTGCACTTCTTTGAGAGGTATAGGAAAGATGATGCTACTACAGTATCAATATAGTTATCCTTTTATATTTGAAGCATTTAACTGCTAGATGTTTAAATTTAAACAAAAGTTTACTAGAAAACTTTCAGCCTAAGGTTACGGCCGTCAGGGCCGCGGTAGTATAATGGTCAGTGCATTCGCCCGAATAGCGAAGGGTGCGGGTTCGAGTCCCGTCTGCTGCCTGGTTCGCGTGGATTTTTTTCTAGTAAACTTTTCTTTAAATCAGTATAGTTGTTAATGATTACTCGTCATTTTCTTATCAATATGCTTAGTTTCTGACAATATTATTTTGAAGTTTGAAATCTTGATATTTCGGTATCCGGCTCGAAGGACCATCATGGATAAGTTATCACTTTTTTAAGAGGTATGGGGACGATAATGCTAATACAGTATAGTGGTTGAAATTAGATTACTTTGTTATTATATATGTGTAGTTTTTGGCAATGCTATTATGAAGTTTAAAAATTTACTTGGTATGCATCCTGGCAGGCAAACTTGTTGAGCTTCGAGCATAGACCAGGAAGCCTGCGCAGTAGCATTTTTACATACAAAAACATCTACTGCGCAAGTTATTTTGTCTACGGTTTTGCTTAGGGGGCGTTCAAGTATTACGTAACGCAAATTTAATAAGATTTTCTGAATAGTTCAATTATTACGTAACGCAAATTTAATAAGATTTTCTGAATAGTTCAAGTATTACGTAACGCAAATTTAATAAGATTTTCTGAATAGTTCAATTATTACGTAACGCAAATTTAATAAGATTTTCTGAATAGTTCAAGTATTACGTAACGCAAATTTAATAAGATTTTCTGAATAGTTCAAGTATTACGTAACGCAAATTAAAAAAGGTTTTCTGAATAGTTTGAAACTATAATTGCTATTTCTTCTTTCAAATGTTTAATACTTGAAAAAGTATTCATTTGACGTTGTGGGTTGCCTACAATGCGAAGAGATGGCGCTGCCTTGCAGCTTAAGGCTAGGAAAATTTCGACGCGGCAATAAGGGTCGTGGTAGCATAATTGGTCAGTGCATTCGCCCGTATTGCGAAGGGTGCGGGTTCGAGTCCCGTCCGCTGCCTGGTCCGCGTGGATTTTTTTTCTAGTAAGACTTAAGATTTTCTGAATTTTGAAGAACGTTATTACAGTAGAATCCGTTTATTATGACTCCGCCTATATTGACCAACCGCCTATTATGACGTAATTACACAACGAAGTTTGGTTTTCATATAAAATTCATTGTAACAAAGTCGGATATAATGACTTCGCTTACAGTGACATGTCGCTTATTATGACCCATTTTAATCAATTTTGTCCGTTTATAGTGACCGACATGATTCTTTACACCTTCGGTAATGTTCGTTGATTCCCGACAAGGTCCGGCACGTGACTCGTTTTTGTTTTGAATCTCAGTGAGTAATTACAGATGAACGTCACGCATTGTTTTTAGTGATATCCTATGTAAAAAAAATGGTGTGACTAGTGTACACACGTAAGAAGTGAAACTTCTTTATGGCCTTATTTTTCGAAAAATGATCTACATGCAACTTTCCAGAAATTGGTCAAATAAAGTTAAATTAGATAAAGTTTAAACAAAAGAATTTTATTATCATAGACATGAATACAAATTACTGCCTATGAAACTGTTATGATTACACGGCTCAGTAATCTAAGGCACATGTTCCACCTCCGACGATGAACGATAAGCGAGTAGAAACTAGAAACGAATTGGCAGTCCTGAGTTAAAATGCACGCGCACGGCTTTTGACAGCCAAGCCAGCTTAACCGAGCGAGTATGGCTGAGCTGGTATCGCTGAGCTAGTATCGCTGAGCGAGTATCGCTGAGCGAGAATCGCTGAGCGAGTATCGCTGAGCGAGTATCGCCGAGCGAGTACCGTTGAGCGAGTACCGCTGAGCGAGTATCGCTGAGCGAGTATCGCTATGCGAGTTTGGCTGAGCGAGTCTTATCTTTAATAACTATTGTCACTCAGCTACAAACGAGTAGAGAGAGTTCTCGCTGGCGACAGTGTGATCATTCAGCTATCAACTATTAATATAAAAAAAGATGGCGCGTTACGGAAAAATGTGACGCGTAACCGAAAAATGTGACGGTAATTTTTTTTCCAACGCCGATAAAGAAGTTTCACTTCAAAAATGTCATCTCAACGTCGTAAAGCATTTACGATTGAAGAAAAAGGTGCAATAATATGCAGATTAGAAAATGGAGAATCAAACTCGTCTCAAAATCTTTTTTCACAAAAATGCTTTGTATGACGTCCGCTTAGTATGACGTGTTTGTCGATTCCCTTCGAAGTCATAATAAACGGATTCTACTGTAATTGCATTTTTTTTTCTCGTTCCTTTTTAATGACGCCGCGTTGTGTGTGGGATATTTAAATTGTTTTTTTTTTTAACCAACATAATGTAAGTTTGTTGTTTTAATTTTTTTTAATAATGGTGACGAAGAATTTGAGTTAGTTTAAAAACTGAATTGATTGATCAGTGTGATAAACAAATCGCAGAAGCCAAAGTTGTTTATATGTTAAGGGAAATAGGGTTACCTAAAGTCAAGCAGTCAAACTTTGTGTATGTTTTTATTGAGTAATCTATTTTTTATGCTTTTTTATGTTTTAATCGAATATTTTTGTTTGTGCATTTATCAAAATATTGTGTAGCTTCCAATTGACTCATGAATCCTTAAAATTAAATCGTATTTACTGTTGGGAAAATATATTAAAAATATTTTTTTATTATTTTTATGATAATTAATAGGTAATTAAAACATTTATAAAAAATTCGTCAATTATTAAATCTGTGTATATTTTGTAAATATAATTAATTACCTAATTATTACCTAGGAATATATATAAATAAATGTGATCTTAGCAATTTCTCAGTACCTTGTTATTTAAATCTTTATAAGCATGCCGTTCAGAATTATAGTTTTGGTATAGGCATTAAAAATCCAATATTAATATAGTTTGTGTGTATAAAAATATTTTTCTATTAGAAACATGTATAGAATAGTTTTTGGTAATAAAATTTTATAGTAATGTAAGTTATTTATGGGATTGTTACTATGTACCTTATTTTTAGCGAGTTTAGCGCTAAACTCGCTAAAAACTAGGTACATGGTAACAATCTCGTTAATAACTTATATTACTATAACGTTAGTGACCATGAAAGTTTAAAACAATAAAAATTTACTTTATATTTGTGTATCATTTATTATACTTTGTACTGTTACTGCTGTATTTTCTGTATATTATTGGGTGGCATATAAGCCTAATATCCTGCCTGATGGTGAGCCTACTAATTCGCACTGCGGCCGTGTGGTGGGTCAAGGCTCCTTCTCCTTATTATAACCAACCATGTTTTGTTTATATTTAAAAATGGATATGGATAATGGATACACTCTACTCCATAGGATCTAGCTATTTCATGGTCCTTCGAGCCGGATTACTGTTTTCAACAAAAAGTTACATATTTTTTCTCTTTCAAATACACAATATCAAAAGTGACTCTAGTCTATTCACATTGGCGTGAGACAAAATGTAAACAAACCATAAAAAGGATACTTTTTATGGTCACTTTTGACAAAAGTAAAGATTAAATACTATTTACATAGGAAATGCAGTGAAACATTAAGTTTTTTTTTTTAAAAGCTGGTACATTCGAAAGAAAATAAAATATTTTACATATATTTAACGTACATACACATAATAAATTCGTATTCTTTTATATTGCTGATAAAAGTATTTTAACAACTTCAGTTGACATGGAAAATGACCTAAAAACACAATCATTCCCAAACTAAGACGTATTATAATACGACAAAATTAAAGAGTAGACATGATATAAGTATTTTACGTTGAAATTTGTATTTTATAATCGGTTGGTTTTTTCGTCAGCCAACTTTACTCTCCCGATCAATCTGTTGACGCGAGCATGCACATTCTATCATAATTGTTAAATTCATGTTATTTCCTTGTTTCATTTTTGTTATTTTTTAACTGATAAGTTTAAAGTTGTCTGTGATTGTTTTCTTGTTGAATTGACGTTTTTGTGGCTATATCAAAGAGTGATGAAGCTGGACCTGATCATTGACTAGTAGGTACTTTCTGACATTAAAAAAAATTTAGAACCTCAGATTCTTTGTTTACATTTTGTCTCAGGCCAAAGTGAATAGACTATAGGAATTGATATGGATCTATAGATACTTTTTAACAGAAGAACTAAAAGGTTTCTCCTCAGTTATGAAAATGGAAAAGATGTGAACTAACTTTTTAGTTTTTAAGCATTCAACTGCTAGATGTTTCAATCTAAAGAAAATTGTACTAGAAACAATTTCACGCGGCCAAGTACCAGACGGGACTCGAACCCGCAACCTCCGCTATCCCAGCGGATTCGTTGACCAATCATGCTACCGCGGCCTTAACGGCCGTGTCGAATTTTTTCTAATATTTCTTAGGCTGCAAAATTTTCTGTAAAGATATAAGTACTTATTTCATAACCAGTTACTAAAAAGTGGAAAAGAAAACTACTTTCGTAGATGGTTAAGAGAATGGAGCATAGTCATATGACTTGACGACCTCCGTGGCTACGTGGTTTATACGCTGGTTTCAAGATATCGCCGACGTCCCGGATTCGAATCCCGATGGGGGCAGATGTTTGTGTAATGAATGCGAACATTTGCACTCCAGTCATGGATGTTTATTATCAGCCTATTAATGTCCCCACTGCTGGGGCACAGGCCTTCCCTATGGATGGAATAGGGAGATTGGGCCATGACCCACCACGCGGGCCCAGTGCGGATTGGTGGGTGCTAACGACTGCAGATGCAGCCGGGACCAACGGCTTAACGTGCCTTCCGAAGCACGGAGGAGCTCGAGATAGTAAATTTTTGGTCACCCATCCAATGACCGACCACTGCGAAAGTTGCTTATCTTCGACGATCGCAACCGGACGCGCTATAAACCACTTGCGCCATCGAGCTCCTCATCCTCAACATGGATGTTTAATATATATATTTCTATATAAATATTCTTATATTTGTA